CGTGCATCAAGCAGTGTCTGTCTCACACACACACACCCTTTGTGTGTGTGTGTGTGTGTGTGTGTTTTTGTGCACATAAACACAAAGATATTAATAGTATTTTCAACTGCCATGCACAAGCACACATCCAAACATGTATAATTGCACGCACGCACACACACACACACACACACACACACACACACAGATTATGAGGAGATATCCACTGCAGTAGGAACTGAAGTCAGGATTATGGATTATTATAACTGCCACACCTTGAGTGATGCATTAATAATAAACCACAGAGGATGGTGGGAATGGGCTAATTAGCACAAGCCTCAAATGAAAGGACCCCCCCCCCCACACACACACACACACACACACACACACACCACCACCACTTTGATCTAAAATATATGCCACTATCACATTATACTCTGTGCTATCATCAAATCTCAGCCACACCAACATCAGTCAATATATTTGCATATTACAATAACCATTTCCCATCTTTAAATATGTATTTCTGTTTAATGTCCCTACAAATGAGTGTACTCTATGTAGGGAGTGAGATAGTGATGTTTTATCTGGTCTGGGAGCCTTGATTAAAGGTTAAAAAAAAAAAAAAAAAAAACATAAATTGATTGTATTTTGTATAAGTTCTCAAATTTCAAAAAGCACCCAGACAGTTTAGGAAGTGGCAGTTGAGTGTCCACAAGCAATGGGGGAGAATAAAAGTTGATCTAAAATGCAACTAAAAAAAGCCAGTCAACCATTTTATAACAGCTATTAATTTAAAGGGGGGTTGACTGATTTTTTTCTTTGCATGATTGTGTTTATGGGGTGCAACATAACATGTATTCGTGGTTTTTCTTTTTTTTAAAAGTCTTATTTTTCATAAACTTCACCTTTATTGTCAGCCGCGCTCTCCTCTGTCCTCGAGCGAGCGGTTGACTTCCTGATTCTATGAAACCACTCCCTCAGAAACAGGCAGTGGGCTCAGATTGGTTAGTTTGGGCCGGTGTGTTGTGATTGGCTAAACTGTCGCTCACGTTGTCCGGAAGGTTAACGCCCATTACCTTTAAGGGTAAAACGTGCATGTCATGAACTCCTGTCCAGATGTAAATAAGGTAAATAATAGTGTCGAACTGCAATATCAGATTGAGGCAGAATCAGACCGAGAAAGCCGCGATGAAGAGAGTCAAGCAGAAACTCACCACACACGGCTCTTACTAAACGTTTCTGAATGATAATTTGCTACATTTTTTTTAACTTTATACACGTTTGTTTTACACAATAGCATTTGACTGGCAACAATAGCAACTGACTAGCTACTAAACAGTATTAGCATTAGTTTACATTCTTGATCAAATCGAAAATAACGTCATAAAACATGTATACATGAAAAATACATTTACAACATTAGTACTTATACAAAATTCAGATCCATAATGTTTGTACGCGTTTGTCGTAGACACAAAATAGCCTAACTAGTAGCCTAGTGGCTATAAAGCCAGCACTGGCATTTGAAACGTCTGGAATTGTACATGCAAATACATTTAAAACGATTAAGTCTTAGCCTACTTATAGGTTGTGGCTCAACAACTGCTGCCTCTGGTTTTAAAGTTGGAACTGCTTCATGTTTTAGTAACAGTTTATTGTTGAATCCGGCATTGAACTCGTGGAGATTCTGGAAGCTGTCTTCCGTAAATTGCTCAGCACAGAGAGCTAGATTACGACCGTCATTTTCAGGAACATAATCAAACATAAATTGTATCCATTGTTGAGGAAGTAGAGCGTCCGTGGGAAGCCTGAACACAAAAGACCTGACAGCTGGGTGAACACAACACACTCGACGAGCCACAAAAATATGGTCATGCCCTTTTCTGCATATTCCGGAGGGAGGGTTGATGCAAATGTATGGGTTAGTGACGTGTAAAACCCATCTGTAGTCCCAATCGAGTCGTTTTTGTAGGCAATATACTTCCTGATTTTTAAAAGACGGTATCTCTGCTTACACTAAACTTTCAGCGTTGCAACTTTGCAGATACTGTTCATGCACCAACAGAAACATTACACACTATTTAAAATGAAAAAAGTGAAATCGCTATCAACCCACCTTTAATAATTAACTTGTTTATAACAAATACAAAGCTAAGAACTGTGTCATGTTTAGTGACAAGGTTAGATGATAATATTAGCTCTTTTAATGGATATGCGCTATGTTACAGAGTCTACGATGGAAAATACTTACCTTTCTTCTTTATTCAGTTGTGATGTTTCATGCAGATCCAGTACATTTTTGTTTTCTATGGGGGACAAATACCCCACTCCGCCAGGCTAAAAGGAATGCATGCCATATTTGCTCTGACAAAGCATTCAAAATAATGACTCATGGCCTAACTGTTATCGGCATGTTGTTCGTCTTGCCTTTTTCTTAAGGGCTTGAGCATTCAGCGTGCCCTGTGCCGTCTGCTACTGCAAGAACAGTTGAAGACCAAAACACTCATAATGCACAAGGGTAGTTGAGCTGCGCATGGTGACTAACCATGATTAAAGCCGGTGCTCGGCCAGACGATGTCCACCCTGGTGGTTCAGGAGCTCCCCCTGGCTAAACATTGGTGCGAGACTTCATCAAAGTTCGCTTTCTTGATGCTCCCATCTCACGAGGTAGCCTTTGCCCAGCGGTTCTCCACAGCTCAGAAGCAGGCTGAGTTTACCAAGAGCTTTCCCCGATGTGCTCACTCGGGGGCTGTGACGCCACTCGGGGGCTGTGACGCCTTTCTAATGCACCCCCTGCTTGCAGACAGGTAAGTGTTGCACCGCACACTTGGACCTCTCTTCGGGCCTCCTCTGCACCTTCCGAGTCGGGTCCCTGTCATCCACCTCGCTGCCCCACCTTGGATACGTCTGTAGTGCCTCTGGTCCCCCTGGCCCAGTTTGTGGAAGCCTGAAAAGTGCTCCCTAACCGGTCCAGCTGGCTCCTCCGTACCATCAGACTCGGCTATACGATTCAGTTCGGCCAGCATCTGCCCAAGTTCAGTGGTGTTTGGTACACTTCTGTGTTGAGCAAACGTGCCCCTTTCGTGTGTGCGGAAATCACATTCCTTCTGGCGAAGGATGCTACAGACCCGGTCCTTCCTGCCAAAATGAAGTCCGGTTTCTACAGCCCATACTTCATTGTACCCAAGAAAGGCGGTGGTTTAATTCCAATCTTGGACCTACAAGTCTTGAATCGGGCCCTGTTAGCCGTGAAGGCTCAAAAACGAGCCTATGACTTCAGATGTACTGTTTGTATGGAGATCTGTGAGCGGAGGCCTCAACAAACAGACTATGTAAAATGGAGATCTAAATTCACAGGGAATTAAAACAGCCCTAGTAAAAATAATACTATTAATGTGGAGCTCTGAGGAGCAAACTCTCCAAAATAAGAGGAGGCTCTAATTACACTTGCATTAAGGACAGTGTTGTCAAGGGAACTCACAAAGAGTCTTACACCCTGACAACCTTATTTATTTGCAGCTCTAGAGAGCAGAAGCCTCAATAAGATAACTGAAATGAGAGGTAGCCTAACAAAAGTGAAAACCATAGAGAGTAATTGATTCATTAAGTTCTTTTTTTTTCATAAGATATTGAACACACATAAAAAACAATTAAGTGGAAGCTGCCACTGCTGGCTAATGTTTAAAAACTTAATTTAACTACGGTGTCCTTATGGCATAAATAGTCAAGTGAACAGCTGCATTTACGTTAAGTAGCCTAAAACATTAAAAGTATCAATGTATTTCTAATACAGGAACGGCAAATTAGCATGTTACCTTTTACTCAAGAAAATGATTCAATAAATAAATTAATTAATAAATATACTGCGAGTTTAAGCTCATACGAGCCTACTGTTATATTGTGCTGTGTCAAACATAAAAACATTCTTGTGTGGTATATGTAGGCCTATATACATTTAGCATTAGGCTTGTAGTGAAGTTTTTTATTCTTCCACGCAACAGACCAGGAGACTCTTGAGGTATCTTTCACGCAGAAGTTCTTTATTGCGTAGCTGTAGTCATCTCAAGGATAGTCTAACTAAGGGAAAATATTCCCTTACAATTTATACATTTAGAGGGGAGGAGTTTACATTGAGGGGGGAGAAACTGAAACAAAGCATGCAAATGAATTAGGAACACACCCTACTCTGAGGCCATTACCAATCCGATTGAATCAGCATAACTATTCAAATGCTGATGGTGGCAGGAACTCTGGTTCCAAAGAGCCATCCCAGAGCCATTAAAGACAAAAGGTGGAAGTCTCCCTTATAGCTAATCCAATCAAAAACAGGACTATCAGGAAAGGAGACTCTCGCTGGAGACTTTATCAGTTTTTATACCATTGGAGTGGAAACCTAAATTAAACATTTGACAAATTTGTATTTCTCCAATTCCCCCTTTGGGAGTTCTAAATAACTCCCACACTATATACAAATTTAAACAATTAAAAGTTCACTCTTGTAACTTTTGCTAGTTACAGGCACATACTCATGTTCTGTGTTTGCTTTTTCTGTAATTACATGCTGACACAGAAAACAAACATGCAATTAGGGTCCGTGAAGTTCTTACGGATAATAGTCTTTACTGGTTGGAACGGTGATTTTCTCGTGAGAGGTGTAATTCATTTTTTGGATGAAACACTTGATACTGTGGACACATAGATTGTACGCTAATAAGAGAAACAACAGCAGAATTGCTATTTCCTTCATCCACATCCACGGGTTACCAATCAAGTTTCCGAACCATGTCGAATTGTCTTCAGTCATCTTCTTTAATCCAGTTGAAAGATCAAGACTGTTTAACCATCATGTTTGTGCACAAGTGAGTCAATGCAGCCATCTTCGGCTGTGGCCTGCAAGGTTTCCAGCAAAAACGAGGATTGTGGAGTCTTCACTTTGTGCGATGTCCTGGTGGTTACTACATCTTGATAATGTTGATGGATGACTGAAGGTTCCGTAAGTCTTTTCTCTGCGTTGTGTATTTTTCTTCTTTACTTTGGTGATAGTTGGCTCGGCAGTGGGTCTCATTGTTCTCTGGAAGTGGTGGCTTCATACGCAGGTGAAGACGTCTGTGCGTATGGGTCTCGGGATAGCCATCAAGTGGTATCTGCACAGAGGAAAAAAAAAAAAAAAAGAGAGCAGTATTTCTTCAAAGACAAGGGTTGTATCCTGCTGAGTAAACACTGAGTCTGCTATTGTTCCCTCTTTCCCTATTTCTTAATTCTTGACACCTAAAGAAGACAGTGAGGTGAGGATGAGACTAAATGGATGGGGAAGGCCTATGAGGGAATCTTCGCCCAAGGGGTGACCCCCGACGCATATGGCATTTCGGTTCTTCCCTTGGGTTCCTCACTGGTTCGTGTCCTTTTTTATGTCCCTGTCAGTGGGCAGAACTTTGCAGAACTCTTTGCAATGTGACAAATGAGACCAAGTTTTTCTTCCTTGACACAATACTGCCCGATCAACATCCCTTGATGGGGCACATGCCACTTAGGCTCTAATGGCTTGACCTGTCCTGTGACATGTGTACTTTGATCTGCATAACCCAATCATGAGTTATTTCTCCTTCATCCTCTAACAAAACATCAGTCGTTGTAGACATCATACGTGAGAATGGGTGAGGATAGTTAAATCACTTTCCCCAATGGGAAAAGGTTCCAAAATTGACTTTTGCTTCATTCATTAGTGCTACACTGCATGTGGGCATTTACAGTCTGACCTAACACTATTATTGATGAAAGGCCTGTACTGTAGAATAACATTTAAGGCTGTGAGTTTACTTAAAGCAGTCCCCCAAAGGAAAAGCTGAGACAGTCACTTTCCTTTTGTTCCGTTAAACAAACATAAGTTTTTTATCTCTGTTGTAAGTTACTGGGGAAATTAAGCACTCACAGTCCAAATGGTTAACACGTCAACAAGCTGCCCCACCCGTTTAAAGACGTGGGGAATGGCGGCTTCAGAGTAGCAAGCAAACTGAGAAGTTGGGCAAAAAGGTTGCCTTCTTTAAAATTCTTTCTGCTTTTTCTACACTCTCTGCTCCAATGTCCCGGCTGACCACAGTAATAACACCTGCCCTCTCTCTTAGGACATTTACGTTTCTGTGGGTTTTCTGTGCTGACCTTAAAAGAAGCTGCTGCAATTTGTACTCTTGCCTTAACATCAAAATCTCTTTCCCAAGCAGTTAACCTGTCCAGGTTACTTCTAAGAGTTCTGTGAGACCAAGTCAGATCCAAAAATGGCAAAGCACTTCTGTAGTCAGCTATAAGGCCATCTGACCAGATGCGGACCAGCGGTCCTTTGTCATTGAGTACACTTTCAGAATCATCCACTATTCCACTGTACGTTACAGCTGACTGACAAAACCTCTCAGTATATTCATTCACAGTTTCTTCTTTCTTTTGTACACAGTTTGTAATTCTAGACCAATCTATCTTGGGTCCTAGGATATTCTTTAGGATTTTCAGAACACCTTCTCTCGATTCATTTTTTCTGGCATGTTGCAGTTCAGAAGTAACAGCAGACTCAAAACTGTTGAATTCAGATTCAGTTAGAATTTGAGACATTAACTGTGTGACTTCTGTTAACGACATGTCGTAGAGACACATTTTGCTGACCAATGCTCTTCTAAATTCAGTGAACTGTGTGCGTGCTGGCGGTAAACTCTGGGACAATCTCTCTATGTCTCTAGGTCCGAGCGTTGTAGCAACAGTTTGGATTTGAACAACAGAAGCACTGGAAGGAACACTTTCTGACTGTTCAATTCCCTGCTGTCTTTTTCTAGCAGCACACACCTTCACTGAATTTACATGCTTATCTGTTACTGATGGGATGTCTACATCTCTTTCAAAACAATGCTTGTAAGTCAGGAAAAGTTTCATCTGACTGTTGGTCTTCAGTGTTACATTTGGCTGAGGCCTGGTTATGGCCCACCTTTGTCTTGAAACAGGACAATTGAGTCTGCAATTGTTTGTTCTGTTCATTTAACTTAGCAATACACCTAGCTTGCTCTTGTGCAATGGATAAACTGTATTCTTTGTAACAACAGATAATGGCTTTCACATTGTTCTTGCGAATACTTGCTCCAAGCACTTTTTTACAATCTTCCATAGACCATACTTTTTCTGGGTGAATGCCAAATTTCTTTGTCAAATTCACTCTGACTGACTGAGTCACTATGGAGTCCATGTGCTCTCCTATCAATGACTTAAATTCACTATCTGACCACAATGGAGCGGCAAGGCCACTTTTCTCAGTTGTAGGAACCAACCTAGCATTCGTCACAACCATTTTGTGAGTTTCTTTGTTATCACACAAAACAACTAACTTTCTCTGATCAACAGAGGCTACACTTGTTTACACAGATCGACTGTTGTAAACCTTCTTTGACAGAGCAAAGGAAATCCACAATATTACTAGCACTTTATGCTAACCTTCCCTGCTTGTACAGAGGATCAAACTTTCATCTCTAAAATACATTTTTTAGAGGGTAACACCACAAAACAACAAAAAACAAACACGAACTATTAGCATGTTACACTAATCTTCCCTGAAAGAAAATGGAAAGGATATTTCACCTTCCTGACTTTTAGAGGATACGACCACAATAACTAGCACAAAAATGCTAATCCTTCTCTGTGAACAGAGGTTATCACCAAATATTAACACGTAATGTTAATCTTCCCTAAGTTTAGAGGATATCTTCTCTAGCAACGTAGAGGCATATTCCGTTACACAAAACTTCCCTGACTTATTCAGAGGATATTTTACAACTTCCCTGACTTATTCAGAGGATCCCAAAATATTAACATTTAGGGCCAATCCCAATTCTACCCCTTACCCCTTCACTTTCCCCTTCCCCTCCGTTTTGCGCGTCCACGTGAAGGGGTAGGGCTGTCCCAATTCTCTTTTGGCTGGAGGGGGAGGGCTAGGGTGAAGGGCCAGATAGCCCTTCAAACGAAGATTTTTCGGGAGCACACTTCAAACGAAGGGGTATGAGAAGTGTCACTGCTAACCCAGGCTGGCTGCCCAAGCGACAAAGGAGACCCATAAATTTAAGTATTTGTGGCTTTAATAAGTATTATAACGACAAATAATGATTTGCTTTATGTTACATTCAATATTGTGTTCATATTTACGGTCAGTTTCTTCACAGAAACGTTTGTAAAAAAAAAAAAAAATCGCTAAAATTACTGTAGTTTGCTAACGATAGTCCCGCAACATATTTTCGTCGTCTCCGTTGTTTCCTGCGAACTTCACAAGATGCAAGAAAATAGCTGTAACCCACGTGACTGAACTGCAGCTGTCGACGGGATCTTGGAAGTTGTGATAAACATCGGCGCATCTCCTGTAACGTAGGCGCTAGCGACGACTTATAATGACGTTTAACGGAGGCGTAGTGGTGTCCCATTTCTTAGGGGAATATTTTCACCCCTAGGCATTGCCACTCTGTTTCAAGGGTCAAGGGGAAGGCGAAGGGGTAGGGCTAGGGGAAAGGGAAGGGGTAAGGGGTAGAATTGGGATTGGCCCTTAATGTCAATCTTCCCTGCCTTACAACAGAGGATATCCATCATCTTTAAAAGACAACTTTTAAAGGATAACTTTAGTTAATCAAACACTACAGCTGCCTGATAACTCTTTCTCTGACGGCGCAGAGTCACAACTTTGGTACTGGTCTGGTTCTTTGAATAAGAGTGAAAACTCACCGAATCGTTGCTTGTATGAAAAGATTCAGTCTGGAACTCAGTCAGAAAAGTTCTTTTTGTTCTTGTTCTGGAACTCAGTCCGCTTTGAGATCTTGTTCTGCTTGAAGTTTTCAAGATTCAGTTGATATTCTCTGTTGAAATCTTTTGTTGCTTGAAGTTTAAGTTTCTGGATTCAGGTAAGATTTCTCTATCCGGGTCACGGCACCATCTGTAGTGAAGTTTTTTATTCTTCCACGCAACAGACCAGGAGACTCTTGAGGTATCTTTCACGCAGAAGTTCTTTATTGCGTAGCTGTAGTCATCTCAAGGATAGTCTAACTAAGGGAAAATATTCCCTTACAATTTATACATTTAGAGGGGAGGAGTTTACATTGAGGGGGGAGAAACTGAAACAAAGCATGCAAATGAATTAGGAACACACCCTACTCTGAGGCCATTACCAATCCGATTGAATCAGCATAACTATTCAAATGCTGATGGTGGCAGGAACTCTGGTTCCAAAGAGCCATCCCAGAGCCATTAAAGACAAAAGGTGGAAGTCTCCCTTATAGCTAATCCAATCAAAAACAGGACTATCAGGAAAGGAGACTCTCGCTGGAGACTTTATCAGTTTTTATACCATTGGAGTGGAAACCTAAATTAAACATTTGACAAATTTGTATTTCTCCAGGCTTCATGTTTTTACAATAACATTTCTTGACGTACATTTTAGCCTGACACCAGTTTAACTAGCAGCTACAATGTAAAATTTATGCAACAATAACATGCTACTATTAGTGTCTTACTACTAATCATTCTCATAATCAAATTGTGTTCTTCTAATTCTTCTGAGGTATATCTAAGGCAAAAAGCACAGCACAAACAACTCGAAGAAAAGCAGAACAGTACTGAACTCACTGATTCTTTATTTTGAGGTGATAAGGGTGGTAACAGCTCTGCGTTCCTCCGCATGGATCATTTGCATATAAACAGCTCTCACACGTGTGGGAAGTGGTCACATTAGCGCTAATCAGCTCGGGCTGAAGAAACTTTACATGTTGTTGCTTTTATATGAATTACTTAAACAGAGAATATTTGTTTTTGATATGATTTACATCATTTTAAAAATGGAGACTTCAGGCTTCGTAAAGACATGTTTCATGTCACAGTGACAAGCATTTTCAATGAGTTACAGGTCATTTTCCATCAGGTTTCAGAACGAACTTCAAATTGAGAGAGACAGGAGTACGCTAATCATGTTTATTTTCTTTATTTTACGAAAAAAAACAATATTTTGTTTTCGTTATGAGTATACACAAATAAAGGAAGACATTTAACAGTTTTGAATGATGTGTAACACTTAAATGTACGATCAAAATCAGAGTACAGAGTATTTTGAGTTTGTTTTGCACTGATAAGAAAAAAAGCTAGCAGATCACGCGGCGTGATTGCCGACCCCAGAGGGTTAAAACAAAAATTAAACATCACTGAAACGCTATTTTCTTCTGGAAACAAACTTTGTTGCATTATTTTCCTGTTAACTCTGTAAAGCTGCTTTGAAACAATCTGTATTGTAAAAAACGCTATATAAATACATTTGACTTGACAGACCAGTGTGATGATCGCTGATGTGTGCTGGAGCGCCATGCCCATCTTGTGACTCGGCAGTGTAGCCATTGCTGAAGTGGTCTCATAAGCGTCAATCCAAGCAGTGTGACCATGGCTGCTGATTGCCATATGCCTCAGGAGCCTCTGAAATTGTTTCAGTGGAACGGCTGTCCTATTCCTGAATTTATTCAGAGAGTTCAGCACTGACTGGGCTCGCTCGTTCGTGAAATGTGCCGTCATCTTGACTGAATCAAACTCCATACAGAGAAAAGGGATACTCTGCACAAGGGAAATTTTGCTCTCTTTCCAGCTGACCTGAAGCCCCAGATGGCTGAGGTGCCTTGGCACCAGGTTCCTGTGTTTGCACAACTGATCTCAAGAGTGAGCTAGAATGAGCCAGTTGTCGAGATTGTGAATGAGAATGCAAATGCCCACTTCCCTTGGCGGGGCAAGGGCAGCCTCTGTGACCTTTGTAAAAATGCAGGGAGACAGGGACAAAACAAAAATGAAAGATTCTCCACGAGCCCTCCTCCGGGGAAGGAGTGGTATGTTCACCACCTCAAACAGTAATTCCCTTCCATGGATGTTGCTTTGACAACTGCTTGGAGGGTTTATCAGCATCTGAGATGCGTCGCCTTACTGCGGGATGCTCGAAGTGGCAGCCTAGCTGTTGCCTGCTGCTTCGGCCACACAAGAGCAGATGTAGATGACGCAGGGGGACGCCGTTGGTGGCGGGGAGGTGAATGGGCAGCACTCAGCGGTCTGGTACCAGCAGCCTCCTGGTGGGGTAAGTTGTCCTTGATCGCCTCCGTCTGCTTCTGTACTGTAGAGAACTTCCGGGCAAACGTCTGGGCAAGCTTCTGACCTGCAGGGGCAAAAACACAACTGGATGCAAATTATCTCCTACCATAGAACATCTCCTCTCAAGTAAAGGCAGATTGGCAGAGTGTTGTAAAAACATTATATCTGAATGTTGAATGAGCTGAATAAGTGAGTTGCCGAGTAATCTTACTCGTCAACCTTCATTGGCTAATTTTCTTACTACCAGAAGGTGAATGGGCTCCCAAGTGAGACCCCATAATATCAGTCAAGGTAACCTTGAACGTGACTGACGGATGAAAATTCTGTAATAATTTACTCACCCTCATCCCTTTCTAAACCGGTATGATTTTCGTTCTTTTGTGGAACGCAAAAAAAGTTAAGCAGAATAGTAGGAACATATAAAAGGAATATATTGCGGATACAGCGCAAGCATGAATACAGTATTTCACAAAAGTCAGTACACCCCTCACATTTCAGCAAACATTTTGGTATATCTGTTCAAGGGACTATACTATAGAAATTAAACTTTATGGATATAATTTAGTGTAGTCAATTTCCTGCTAGTATAGCAGTATATACAGGGGTTGGACAATGAAACTGAAACACTGGCCAATGTTGGAGGTTTCACATCTATATGCCTGGCGGCCAATCTTCAGAGTGAAGCACGGGTGGATCAGTGATGGTTTGAGCTCCAATATCATGACAATCCTGATTGTATTTGATGGACACGACACTGCCGAGGACTACCAAACCCTTCTGGAGGATCATGAGCACCTGATGCTCAAACCGTGTATCAGCATGATCATGCACCAACACACACAGCAAGACATGTGACAGAAGGGTTTGATGAAGATGAAAGTGACGTTGAACATCTCCCATGGTCTGACAGTCACCAGATCTGAATATTATTGAGGTGTTTTGGAGAAGCGAGTCCACCAGCATCATATAGTGATCTGGACACTGTTCTGGAAGAGGAACGGCTCATAATCCCTCTGGTCACTGTGAAGGACTTCTATCTGTCAATTGGTGCTGTATTTGGATGCAAAATGAGGCCCTCACCATTCTAACAAATTATTGTGTAGTAAAACCAGGTGTTTCAGTTTTTTTGTCCAACCCCTGTATTTACCGTCCTCTGAAAATAACTCATACAGGCATTATTGTCAAAATAGCTGGCAACAAAAGTGAGTTCCCCCTGAGTGAACATGTCAAAACTGTGTCCAAAGTGTCAATATTTTGTGTGAGCACAATTGACCTATGGCTAAGCCATGCCCTCAAATGCAATGAGCCAATCACAGTTCGCAGCTAACCCAATACACTCGGACATTCTCTGCTTCCGATTGAAATGCATTGCAGCCAGTCAGTTTTCATTTGTTTTTTCTTGTCATTTTAAGTTTAAAATGGTCAAACGGTGTGCATGGGGTACATGCAACTCCGCCACTAGGTTCCCGAGAGGCTGGGCGATGGTGTGTATTTTTTTACCTTTTCCCAAGCCACGTTAACCGAGATAAGTGTCTACTCTGGATTAAGTTATGCGGTAGGCCACAACACCAACTAAACGTGGATAAATTAAACAAGGATGTCTACATATGTTCTAAGTTAAAGAGATAGTTCACTTTGAATTACATTTTTGATATGTTTTAGCTTACCTCAAACCAAGATGTAGGTGTCTTTGTTTCCACAGCATTTTCAATTTTGACATTTTTTGGTCAAACCGTTGTTGTCTGTCAGTCATACACTGGAGGTGAAGGGGGTCCTCAATCGGTTCACCTCAAAGAGCATGCACAGAGAAGTCAAAATTAAACATGATTTATTGACTCGTAAATGTAAGTACACACTGATGGCTTAAGACACGAAACGAGCGGTTTGTGTGAGAAAACGAACAGTATTTATATCGTTTTTACCTCTTGTTAACAGCCGTCAAACTGATCTGAATCAGATGTCCAACTGAACCGAACTGAACCGTCTCCAGACGTTAGGCCGGAAGTGATCTCTCGCGCGTCTACGTCACGCATTGTTTACACGGAGATTTCAGAAGTTTTACCTTTCACTAAACTTATTTAAATATACAGGAAATCGCAATGGAAGACGATTTCGATATATCTAAATATGTTTAGTGGCTTAGCCATAGGTCTGTTGTTATCTAGCACTGCCTTAATCCTCCTGCCATGGAATTCACCAGAGCTGCACAGGTTGTTGCTGGGACCCTCTTCCATGTCTCCCTCAATGAAGCACAGCTTCCCAGAAACAGCAGCACTCATGCAGCCCCAGACCATGATGCTACCCTCACCATGCTTGACTGTAGGCAAGGCACAATTTTCTTGGTACTCCTCATCAGGTTATTGCCACATATTTTGGACACCATCTGGGCCAAAAAATGTTTCTTAGTCTCATTAGACCACAGGACATGGTTCCAGTAATTCATGATCTTGGACAGGTTGCTTTCAGCAAACTGTTTGCGGGCTTTCTTGTGAGCCAGATTAAAATTAGGCTTCCTTCTGGGACGACAGCCATGCAAACAGCAGTGTGTGTTGTATGGTCTGAGCACTAACAAGCTGACCTTCCGCTTTTGCAACATCTAAAGCAATGCAGGCAGTACTCAATGGCCCTCATTTATCATTGTTGCGTAGAAACGGGCGTATATTTTGGCGTAAGACTATGCTAAACTCCTCTCACCGCCTGATTTATGAAGCTGTGCATACCTTTGAAATCCAGGTGTACGCAACTGCCCTTGATAAATCCCGCGGCCGAAAACGATCGTCATTAGAATAACACGCCCCAAAATATTCAAGTCTCCGCTCCCCCCACGCCCTCATTTTACGCCATGGACACACAGAAGACGGCAAAGAAGAGAAACTTCTCCGACGTGGAGCCGAAATGACCCATCACAATGGGTGCATTATTTTACAGCACGTCTTTTGAAATGAGCATTCAATTTCGAATCACGTCACACGTATTGATGATGATGATGTGATGTGAAGTATACCATTCATTCACATTAATAATTGCATTACAATTTGTAGCTAATATTCTTATTATTATTATGATTTGTATTAATGACGCTTATTGTTATTTAGAAGAAGGATGATGTTATTATTATTTGTATTATTATTATCATTTAAAAGAAGAAGAATGTATTTTTCATTATTTTGTCGGTCTGAATTATTTTTTGGTCATTGAAAGCCTTTCATTAGTCTTTCTCTAGTCTTTCTTTCTTTCTGAGTCCGTGCACATGCTGGGGATAATCCTGAAACGTCAGGGTAAAGCGCACAGGCTCACAACTGAAGGAATGCATATGCTTACAAATCAAATGCTTTGGTAAAGTCACACAAATTAAACATTGAAGTCCACGTTGCACAAAAATAAACACTGACGTTTATAATTACTATGTTGCTTTTTTGTTTGTTTGTTTGTTTTTTGGGGGGGTCATAATATATATCATATCTTTTATCTTTTCTAATTTAGGAATTTTTCTGCGCATTTCCTCACTAACTCAAAACGTGCGTACACCACCTCCTGAGTTGTGTAAGATTTGAGCGTGCCGTACGCCAACGTCCATATTGATAAATCTCAAAGTCACAGTGGTTTTGGGTGTACGCAAGGTGTATGCTGGAAATTTGGTGTACGCACTTTTGATAAATGAGGGCCAATGTGTCTGTTTTTTTTTAAGCCAGCTTCTACACCTGACACACGAGGACTCAACTTCTTTGATTGGCACTTGCAAGGCCTGTTACAAGTGGAACCTGTTTTGGAAAACCTCTGTATGACCCTGGCCTGTACTGTAACTCTGTTTCAAGGCGTTCCAATATAGGGCATCTTTGTGAAGAGCAATAATTCTAATTCTCAAATCCTTAAAGAGTTATTTGCCAAGAGGTGTCATGTTGAGTGGTCAGTATGAGAGAATTGTACTCAAAGCACAAATTTGAACTACTCTAATACAAGATACAACAATTTGAATGGTCCTGTCAAGCAGACAAATACCTGAACATCATGAATAGGACGTGACGTTGCATGGTTAAACGACTTAGGGTGTCCTCACTTTTGTTGCCAGCTATTTTGACAATAATGGCTGTATGTTAAGTTATTTTCAGAGGACAATAAATGTATACTGCTATACAAGCAAAGCAGCACATTGACTACTCTAAAATATATACAAGTTTAATTTATATAGTATTGTCTCTTGAGTAGATATAATGTGAGGGGTGTACTCACTTTTGTGAGATACAGTAGTATGTCAGAAATAAAATTGTTTATCTAGTTACTGTTGATTTTCTTAATCAAGACTTAATCTCCTGATTTGTTCTCTCTCTCTTTCTTTGTCTTTTTAATCTGTGTAGGACCCTAGGAGTAAGCATAAATTTAAGATCCACACTTATGGCAGTCCAACATTCTGTGACCACTGTGGATCTCTTCTATATGGGCTCTTACACCAAGGGATGAAATGTGACTGTAAGTACAATACTAAACATTTCGGCTCGGAGGAAGCTATTTAAGAGTAGTTTAAAGGTTATTTAACATGTAGCCCATAACTATCGATATACAGTATATGCAGTAATCATTTGATTAATTATTGAATATTTTATACTTTAAAATAAATGTTAAAATTTGACATGCAAGATATGATGTGTTCACAGCCTGTGATATGAACGTCCATAAGCAGTGTGTGATGAATGTGCCAAGCCTTTGTGGAATGGACTTCAAAGAGAGACGAGGGCGTCTTTACATTAAGATTGAGGTGATCGGAGACAAAATGCATGTCACAGGTGAGTGTCACAGTTTTTCCATGACCAAAGATGCAATAGTGTAAAACATGTTAATGCTGTTGCATATATCTATTCTTCATATTCGTTATCTGTCTTTTTTGACACATCCATTCCTGTACAACACAGAGCCCTGCACACAACATGCAAGAAAAAAATAGCGCAAGTGAATTAAGAAATTGTTGATCGGCTTGGCCTCTGTAATTTCACCGCTGGACCACCAAAAGCATTAGGTGGAAAAATCCTAATGTGGAGAAAACAGACAACACAACACCAACTGAATTGGCAGATTTAAAGGATTGTATTTCCTCAAAAAGATTTAGATGCGTGTTGTAAAATTATAAATTCCTTAAATAACATTAGAACTGTTTATGTTTTATTAAAAACGTTTTTACTTTTTGAACATGAAATATTAAATATTAAAATACATATACACTCATCTAAAAAGATTATTAGGAACACCTGTTCAATTTCTCATTAATGCAATAATCGAATCAACCAATCACATGGCAGTTGTTTCAATGCATTTAGGGGTGTGGTCCTGGTCAAGACAATCTTCTGAACTCCAAACTGAATGGCAGAATGGGAAAGAAAATGTATTTAAGCAATTTTGAGTGTGGCATCATTGTTGGTGCCAGACGGGCCAGTCTGAGTATTTCACAATCTGCTCAGTTACTGGGATTTTCATGCACTACCATTTCTAGAGTTTACAAAGAATTGTGTGAAAAGGGGGAAAAAAAAAAACAACTTTTCAGGGCGAAAATGCCCTGTTGATGCTAGAGGTTAGAGGAGAATGGGCCGATGATTCAAGCTGATAGAAGAGCAACTTTGACTGAAATAACCTCTTGTTACAACTGAGGTATGCAGCAAAGCATTTGTGAGCAAAGCATTTGATGACACGCACAACCTTGAGGTGGATGGGCTACAACAGCAGAAGACCCCTCCGGGTACCACTCATCTCCACTACAAATAGGAAAAAGAGGCTGCAATTTGCAAGAACTCACCAAAATAGGACAGTTGATGACTGTAAAAATGTTGCCTGGTCTGATGAGTCTCGATTTCTGTTAAGACATTCAGATGGAAGAGTCAGAATTTGGCGTACAGAATTAGATCATGGATTCATCATGCCTTGTTACCTCTGTGCAGGCTGGTGGTGGTGTAATGGCATGGGCGATGTTTTCTTGGCACACTTTAGCCCACTTAGTGCCAATTGGGCATCATTTAAATGCCACGGCCTACCTGAGCATTGTTTTGACCATGTCCATCCCTTTATGGCCACCATGTACCCATCCTCTGATGGCTACTTCCAGCAGGATAATGCACCATTTCACAAAGCTTGAATTATTTCAAATTGGTTTCTTGAACATGACAATGAGTTCACTGTACTCACTGTATTTAAAAATAAAACATTTATATATGATAGTAGAGTTTTGAAGTGCTGGAAAAAGATGTGTAGTAGACTACTTGTAAGCATTTGACTATTTCTGTCACATTACCAAATTTATACATTAGCCTAAATACATGGTGAATGTTGCTGATTTGTGGATTGAAAGCCTACTATAAGTTTTTTCTCCTGGTTTCCTTGTCAGCGCTGTTTGGTCTGATATCAATGGTTTATAACAGAACTGAATCGCTGCGCTGAATCAGAATGTTTCTCTCTGGTTCTCGTATTGATGATGTTATTAATTCTGAGGCAAATTCAATGGATTTCTTCACTGGATCTCCTAGTAACAGTTCTACCAGAAAGACTCGGGAGATAAGATACTGTACAATAAAGCATTTTATTAACAGCCCAGCAAGCCATATATGCAGTAAAGTTCTTTGGCGTAGGCCCCGTCCATAACTAGCGATCCGAGGGTACGGATTCTGCATATCCTGACTGAAGATGAAGGCAGGGGCGCAGCCGACCCCCAAAAATGAGTGGAAAAATAATTCCACTGGACGAAGCCCACCTCCAAAGAACATGAAAGAAGAGTATACCCACCAGCCGTATGTTATGTGGTTCCTAAAATAGAAGAAGAAAAAGAGTTAGCAAACAGCTGGTAAACATGGATATATCAATTTCCATAGATAGTAGAGTTCCATCGATATTGTCGTGGGAACGGAACTCTACAATCTAAAGTGGAGCATGCTTAACTTAATATGAAAGATACTTATCTGCTGCTGAATTACATGAGACAATTACGCATTTGCTCAGGCTTAAAATTTATTTATTATTTATTTATTTATTTTATATATACGAGGCCACGCTGATCCACATAAAACGAGGCCACGCTGATCCACATAAAACGAGGCCACATTGAGCCACATAGACAAGGCCACGCTGAGCCACATAGACAAGGCCACGCTGAGCCACATAGACGAGGCCACGCTGAGCCACATAAAAACGAGGCCACGCTGAGCCACTTATACGAGGCCACGCTGAGCCACATAGACGAGGGCCACGCTGAGCCACATAAAAATAAGGCTGCGCTGAGCTCCACAGAGACGAGGTCACGCTGAACCACATAAAACGAGGCCGTGCTGAGCCCCACAGAGATGAGGCTGCGCTGAGCCCCACAGAGACGAGGCCACGCTGAGCCACATGAAAACGAGGCCACGCTGAGCTACATAGACAAGGCCACGCAGAGCCACATAGATGCACATGCATATTAATTTACCTGAATCGTTACTGCAGAGCTTGCTGAGCTTCAAGAATGATCTTTAGATTGGGTCTTATGTGAGAGTTCAATGCAGAAGAAGACCATCTGCCCAGGATTTTTATAGCAGCAGTAGAAACGCCACGTTCAGCTGCTGTAGTGGCAGCACCAATCCTGAATGAGTGGCCAGTATACTGGGAAGGGGATAGACTGCAGTTTTTAAGGACAGAAACTAAATTAGACCTGAACCAAGCTTTGGTAAGAGAAGCTCCATTAGGTTGAGAAAATAGAGGGGAGTGATCTGAAGATTTAGGGTGAGATGGGACAGATGAGATGAGAAGGGACAAAAATTGTTGCTAATTTTAGACATAGTGATTGAGATGCCTAAAGAGTAATTTTTTGAGTATTTGAGAAAGAGAGTAAAGAAATTAGGTGAGAAGTGTAAGTTAAAGAAAGAGAGACTGCGGACGGGATCAAAATGTTAAAACGTTGAAGCGAATTCACCTGGACGCATAAACCCGTTAGCCTGACTACGTCAGACTTCCTACTTCTGCTAATTTCATTTTGGTCCTGTAGTCCGTCTGAGATAGCAGCATATCTTTCAGTTTTCCACCGGCCTGAAAACAGCCGGCCAATCAACGGACAGAGGGCGGGCTGAGAGCCGTGACGTAGACGCTAAGTGCCGAGTTTTACATTGTAGGTTGGAGAAATCGAAAACCGAAACGACCGCAGAAATGGGAAACAAGACACGGGATGCAATTCGCTCTGTTATGGAGAACATTCCGGGGTTTTTCAAACTGAAGCAAAAGTCGTTTACAGCCATGTTCACTTCGGTATTTCGACCGGCGCGTGCACTTCTACCGCTCTAGGCGAAAAACAATTTTGCTGCCCCTCTATTTGCAACGTATACCAGCAAAAACCAGCATGCTTGGCTATTATGTAGCTTGCACATACACTTTGATTCTCTCATCAACACAGATGCAGCCATTTTTATTTTTTCAAATCATTATAACAGGGAAAAATATTAACACTTCAAGCTTAGACATTTAGGCTACCCAATTTTTTCAGGCTAATTGTAGTAATGACGGATCAGACCTGTTTGTCCATAACTATATGCATAACTATAAGGACATAACTTACCCCCATTCAACGTCAGTTCTCCGTCTTTTACGGCTATGACAAGAACGTCGGTCTCCTCGGCTGTGAACGCTCCTGTCGCGCTCTTATTATCATATTATTGTTATCACATAACAACAATCCACCATATTTGGTTTCGACATCCTGCTGCATTAGTCCCAGATATGTGATTCATGAACGATCTGTTCATTGTGTATGTCACGTGACAAATGAACGTAAGACTCGGAAGGTAAAGTGATTATTTATGTTCCCTGTAAATCATTTTTTAATGCAATATGATTTCTTAATTCAGAATATGATCAACATTGTGTAGGTGGATGTGATCGGGGAATTTGGCTGTTAAAATTATAACATTAAGCCACTTAAATAAACGAAATGACTCGAATGACTCAGAGAATCAGTAAAATGAACTTCCTATTCATGACTCGCGAGAGCAGGGGCTCGATCTCACCTTCGCGGCGCTGCGGTGCGGCGGAAGCTAAATCAGTCATGACTCGTGAAAGCAGGGCACACCGACGCTGCGGGGTGGCCACAACTCAGTAAATCATAAAAATAACCTAGTTTGTGAATTGTTCATTCCCGGTTGGCACACATTTTGCACAATTCTCTATTATGCCATTCCAGACTTTGTCTACGAAGCAAAGTGAAGTAGCAGAGTCTGGTATTACCAGGCTATAAACCCGTAGAAAGCAGTTAGAAACACTGCTTCCAGCAAAATGTTAGAGTATGCAAAAAAAAAAGCCCATTACGCATGGAAAGAATTAATCTATGCAATAAATGTAAAGTATAAGGCAACCGTTTATCTGGAGAATTCATAGATGATTTAGCTATACTTTTGAGCAGTAATCGAATGGGAGAAGCTGTGAAGAGACTTGGAAAATCGGGATTAAAATATTTTGCATAAAATTGAATACCAGCGAGCAATCTGCGGATGGAGGAAATTCTTAAATTGCGATTTTCGAAATTAAAAACGAGAAAAGAGCAAATGGTTGTAATCAAGATAGGAAATAGGGGAATCTGAAAGGAAAAGCAAAACATTAGAAAAGAAGACCAAGCGGAAGTGTAAGCTTTCGAAGTAGAAAGAGCTAGTCCTTTAGACATATAATGTCTAGCTGATCTTTGCAAATCGACTAGTTTAATGTTGTTGCTGATAGGGGAGGGCAGGGTGTTGGTTCCGTATTGGCCGAAGGGCAAAGCCGTCTTAACGTCTGAAAACGAAAGCGGGAG